CATCATATTGCCCTGTCGGACTGCTTGACACAGAATACTGCAATGGTCGTTTTGTCCAAGGGCTGTGGCGCCAAGAAAGCATGTCAGAGTCATTATTGCCACTTTCAGTCTCACCCACAGGCCATAATGCATCAAATAATGCCAAATTAGTGAGAGAGACATTGAAGGATTATTTTTTTGCTGAAGGTTCTGTTGATTGGCAATGGAACTTTTGCTAGACTAAAGTGTATAATTAAACCTTGGTGTGTATGAAACAAAATGTTGCCTGACACATTATTTGTTAGCTTTTAGATGCCAATATGAGGATGTTGTGAATAATTTTATTACAAATATGAAGTCAAACTTGAATTGTGTGTATGATTTTGCATTGACAGTTTGCTAATAAATTATTCTATATTAAGCAATGATATAATAAACCATATACTGCGATTGAGGTAAAAGTTTATACAATATTAATCTTAGTATATATAGCAATCTTTTTATTCTTTTACTGGAAAATGTCCAGATCATCAATTCAATGACTTGAAATGACCCCCCTATTTACTCCCACCCTCAATAAAGACCCCCCTATTTACCCCCCCCCCCTCTTCAATAAATAATGACCAGTCCCTAAACAAAAATAATTGATTTATTAATTAATATATATCAACACAACAGTAACCCACTGACCCTACTGGAATCATATGATGATACCTGATAAAAATTGAAGTGCAGTGAATTAATATTAATCAAGTCCAATGATTGGATGATATGCAAATATTCTCAGGCCTAGGACTGGATTGAAATTAATTCACTACACTTACACCAGAGAATAAGGCATACAGAAGGTCGAAACCAAGAAGTCCGCCTTCTGTGTACCCTATTCTGTGCTTACACTATGTATTGCATGGATGTGATGTCATTTCAGAACTTTAAATAGAGAATAATATATGGGTGCGCGGAAATACCAGATTTATTTTGAGTGTTGAACATGATATCTCAATAATTTGCCTTTGTTAATAATATTAATAATAATTTAATTATTAACACAATTATAACAGCTTTTGTATTACAATCTAATTTTTTTCTCACAAATTTTAATAATTGAAATCATTAATGTAATAATGTTGCATGGACCAAAAGAGTTAAAAGTACCATTATACATTAAATAAGAAAATAACATATTGAAATATATAAGAATAAATGGTTCAACAAAGTCACTCTGGACAAAATGTAAAAAATATTTATATAAAACCATTAAGTCATCTGTAGTTTGTGTTCTGAAGCATATGATTTATGTAAGGTGAGGATATATTACCTACTGAATCAGTTGGGTCAGCTGGTGTCGGTTGAAGATGGTATTGACCAAATGGTTGGAAAGAGTTCTCTTTCATTTCAAGCTCAAATAACACATCACTGATTCTTTTCTCAGCTACCATCCTTGTCATTCGGTCAAACTGGGAACGTTTTTCAGCCACATATAGGGAAAATGGACATTGGATTGGAGCTGCTTGTTGGCTGGGTGCTGGTTCTTTCAGAACATTAATGCAAGTCGACAATAATTCCTGCCTTTTCATTTCGAGGTCATTCTTTTTCGATTTTCGCGAATAATAATTTGGGGTTTTGTTGCTATTTTGCCCTTGGCTTGGCACAGGAAAGCTGTTGGCATCAGCAGTGACTGAGGTTTCGACAGAACCAGGTGAGTTTCCATGCTTGTCTCCTTGGTCAACTAAGTTGTCTTTACTCTTGCGTGCTTCCATGACCTTTGTAAGGAACTGAAGTCTGTCCCAGTATATCCAGTTTGATTCATACACTTCAGACAAAGCCATTCCCGATTTCATTGCCCTTACTTTCACCATTTCTCTTCCAAGTTGAGCTCGTAATCCGACAATTTTAGATTTAATTTCAGCAGCGCTCACTCCCAACTTTTCTTCCATTTCTTTATAAGCTTTTGCCCTTTTATCTCTTAAATGATACTCTTTGGACGATACATCCCACAAGCAAACCCGATCTTCAAGCATTTCCAGAAGCTTGTCTATTTCTTTGTCAGTCCACTTTTTCGACTTCGCAAGAGATTTCCCTCCAGATTTTTCAGCCTTCTGCTTTTTACTTGAAGTTGGCTTATTGCTTACATCGTCTTCACCGATTTCAGCGAAGTCACGCTTCTTCTGAGGCGTTTCAACAAGGGATTCCTGTGTCAAACTTTCGTAAAAGTCATCACATATTTCATCTTCGCTCTCCACCATTTTGAATGTTTTTAATGCGAATCTCCATGGAAACGATGACGTTGTATGACGTTGTACTAATTTTTCGTCAAATGTTGGACGATGTTGGATGAAAAGTTTGAACAAAATCAAACTTGATCCAACATCATCCAACATAATGCAACAATATCCAACATGGTGTTCAAACGGACCCAACATGTTGGACACAACAATGTTGGATGATGTTGGTCCAACATGTTGTATCCGTTTAAACAGGCCTTTACTCTGAGCATAGACAATCCAGAAGACAGGGACTGGAAACGCAAGCTAGAAATATGATGACAAATCGTGACATCCGTGATGTGCCTGTCACATAGCAATTACTTGGTTACCATGGTAACAAGTCTTTAAATTTACATAAAAACAAAGGCAAATGCGTGTGGTTTATGCAAAATATGTCGTGAAAAAAGCGTATTATCTGAATTTTGGGAGCGTAGTCGTGGAGCGGCTATACTAACAAAGGTAGATAATCCAAATTTTCATTTATTTCTATTTTATAGTGATGCTAAATGCAAAATTTGGATCGTGCTATCTGTAAATCGCGCACGCAGCAATTATTTCCAGAAAATACTGCCAAAACTAACCCTGTAACTACAAAATTAACTTGTTTTGTCTTTGACAATGAAGCCACTTGAAATCACAAGATAGTAATCTATCGAATAGGCAATTTTTTATATCAGTTTGGCATCATATTCAGCCAAAAATGTTTACTGAATTTGATTGACAGAATTACGAATGTTGTTAGCCGGGAATTGTTATTGTCATGCTACTCTGGAAGGTCGCTGGCAAAACTAACACTGCAACTGAAAAATAAACTATTTTTGTGCCTTTTGGTCAAAGTATGTGTAATCACAAGATTGTAATCTATCGAATAGGCTATTTTTTATATCAATTTGGTAACTTATTCGCCCAAAAATGTTCACTGAATTTGAATGACAGAATTACGAATGTTGTTAGCCGGCAATTGTTATCGTCATTTTATTCTGAAAACTTGCTGGCAAAACTAACCCTGCAACTGCAAAATAAACTATTTTTGTACCTTTCGGTCAAAGTATGTGTAATCACAAGATTGTAATCTATAGAATAGGCTATTTTTTATATCAATTTGGTAACTTATTCGCCCAAAAATGTTTACTGAAAATTTGACAGGCTGAGATGGCCATTTCTGTTGCCCCACTTCTGTTGCCCCACTTCGAACCCTGTAACTATAGTTTAATTCAATAAAGTTCAGAGTTTGCAATTTACCTATTTTGAACAAAAATAGACCTGTGGATGCACTTGTCCCGTTTTTAAACTTATATCGGGTCAAACAAAGCCAAAAACGTCCTTTGAATGCTTGCATGCGTAATGTTTTTGACTGTGAAAAAGGCGCCATTGCCATTGTTGTTGTCCGGCAAAATTTGTACCGGCTAACTTCGAACCCTGCAACTACAGATTAAATAAAGTTCAGGGTTTGCAATTCACATTTTTAAAACAAATATAGACCTGTGGATGCATTTATCCGATTTTTAAACTTATATTGGGTCAAACAAAGGCAAAAAACCACCTTTTATTTTTAATGATTGCATAATGTTTTTGACAGCAAAAAAGTCGCCATTGGCATTCTTGTTGGCATTGTCGAAAGTTCAGAGTGTTAAACATACAAAACTCGCCGTTAAAAATAACTGAAACCTTGTTTTTATTTCTTTTTAATAATGGATGCCTTAGCAAAAAGGGTTTTCGAGAAAGAAAGGATTTGTTGTCAATAAAATGGAAGGTATATTAATTAAATTAAACCAAAATTGCCAAATTCAAATTTTAAAATACAGATCAAGGAAAACTTCGAAAAGATAAAATCAATCAATTTATATAACGTAATTACAGTGAAGCAAGACTGAATAAATATACTTAAACTTAATTAAAGAAAACTAAAATACGCAAACAAACCTGAATCGTGCCTGAAAGTCCACCCCAAATTGGAAATCAAAATTTTCGAACAAGCTCGAAAATTCTTCGCACTTGTCTCTGAATAAGCAGATCCATTTTATAAACTTTACACACAATGTGATATACCTAACTCCCTTTTCGGTGTAGATTATTTAAACCTTAAACAA